AGTGTTACTGTGGTCTGATCTTTCCATTTAAATACTGGAAGTTAACATTCAACATTATTATTGATATTTCTGAACTTGTCCCTCCCATTAAGTTGGCCTTTCTCTTGGTCATTTCTTGTTCTCTTATTTCTGTCTGTCTTTAGTTTTCCTGGTATAGCACCCCCTTCAGCACTACTTGAAGAGCTGGTCTGGTGTTGGTAAATTCTTTCAGGTTTTGTTTATCTGAGACTGTTTCAGGCTTTTCTTCCCATATGAGGACAAGCTTGCCGGATATAGTATTCTTGATCGAAACTGTTTTTTCACTTAACACTTTGAATATATTTTCCCATTCTTTCTTTGCTTGCATTGTTTCTGACAAGAGGTGTGATGTTAGCCTGATGGGATATCCTTTGAAAGTAACTTGATGTTTCTCTCTTGCCAATTTTAGTATCTTGTCTCTATCTGTGGTTTTGGTCAATCTGGCTATGACGTGCCTTGGGGAAGATCTTCTTGGGTTCAATCTGTGTGGGGTCCTTTGTATTTCTTCGGCCTAGATATTCGAGTACCTCTCTAGATTTAGAAAGTTTTCTTCCAGGATTTCATGGGACAGATTATCAATGCCCTTATTAGTTTCTTCACCTTCTAGGATACTGATGATCCAAATGTTTGGGTGTTTAATGGTATCTAGTATTACCTGTATATTATTCTCATTTTCTTGGGTTATTTTCTTGGGTTATTTTCTCTGTCTTTTTGGTGAATTTTTCTAGCTCAGAGGTTCTATCTTATACATCTACCATGCAAGATTTGATCCTCTGCATGGTCTATTCTGCTTTGGATATTTTCCAAGGAGGTTTTGATTTCCTATATTACAACCTTCATCTCTAACAATTATGTTTGATTATTTTTTATGATGTGTATCTCCTCTTTCAGATCTTGTAGGAACCTCCTCACCTCTTGTAACTTGTTTCTTTTCTCCTGCATCTTCTGAAATCTGTTGTCTCTCTTGCATCTCTGTGAGCTTTGTCACTATGAGTATTCTAAATTCTTTGTCTGGCATTTCCATGAGTTCCCTTGTATTCTCTGTGGAGGAAGAGGAGTTATTCTTTTCCCTGAGAGGAGAGGTATTTTCATGATTTTTCATATTTCTTGTGCTTCTGTGGCAGTTTCTGGTCATCTGGTGGATTATATGCTTTTTCCTAGTTTTTGGAGTTAAATCTGTGCTTTCAGAGGAATGCAACCTCTAAACAGTATAGTTTTTCACCCTTTGCACAGCTGATTCAATGAAAATTGAGGATTAATCTGACCCTGGCTGTTTGGCTAGATCTGGGGGGGGCAGGAGGGTGAAGTCAGGGCAGAGGGACTTTGGTAGTCCTTATCCCTGAATGGGGCTGCTCAGAATTCAAATCAGAAATGCAGAATCTTGACTTCCCATTCTGCTCCTGACATCCAGCCTCTGCCATAAGGACCTTAGCATTGTGGGAACCCCTCCCTTTCTTGCTCCCTTGCCATCTCTGTAGCTGCCGTTGGTTCTGGGCTGTCTGGCACCTAAGGCAGGAAAATGGTGGCTGCAAAGATGAAATAGTTACTAGGCTCTAAGAACTCTAGGCTTCAACTCATTATGAAAAGAGGAAAGTGTGTACTGGGGGTACAAACAGACTCTGAAGAGTATCAGGCAAGACAAAGGGAAACTGATCCTCTTCATAACTGCCAGGCTTTGAAGAAATCTGAAATAAAACACTACACTCTGTTGAGCAAAACTGGTCTCCATCACTACACTGGCAACACTATTGAATTGGGCACCGTATGCAGAACATACTAGAATATGTACACTGGGTACCATTGATCCGGGTGATTCTGGTATAATCAGAAGCATGCCAAAACAGACTGCTGAAAAGTAAACCATGCAAAATTTTTCTTTAATAAGACTTGACAAGAGTTTCTTTAGAGGGAAGGGAAGAAAAAAGAAGGGGAGGGAAGGGAAAG